GCTATAGTAGAGGGTATTTTTTAGAAAGTGTCCCGTTGAGGTTCAGTTTCTTACTTGTATATTCTCACTAGCCAGTGCTCTGTTGTATAGGCTTCCTCTAAATGTGTGAACTTCACATTTTTATTACCAATCTCAACATTCCTGGTCCTGTCATAACCACCTGGTGTATTGTAACTATGCTGTATAGGGAGAGGGGGAGAGAGAGAGGGAGAGGGGGAGAAAGAGAGAGAGAATCAAGTGATAAGGTAAATTTACAAAATAGAGAGTACGTGTAAAGGAGAGAGTAAGAGAGGGAGAAAAGGAAAAAAAGAGGGAGGGAAAAATAACTAACCTGTACTTCACCAAATCTATAGTAGCACATTTTATACATGAGACAATTGAGGAGGACAGGGGAACCAGCAGAATCAACTCTGAACTCACCTTGTGGAGTGAAATACCTCGACTCCTAAAATAACCAAAAAATTAAAATAAAATAAAAAACTAATTTATTGCATGTAAATGTACATGTATCTCATTGTAATAGCTACCAATAATTAATAATATCAATAATAGCTGAAGAGATTGAGATAACACATTACTATACCCCTCAATTGAAACTGAAAGTTTACATTAAACAAAAGTACACCAGTGTTTGGGAATGAGGGAAATAAATAAAATCAATTATTGCAATAATTATTAAATAATTAATCACAATTTTAATTATTAATTGACCACACCCACCTTTATATCGTTAGGATGCTCTCCCTCAGCGATCCTTACCATCCAAAGAAACTTGTTAATATCGTCCCCGGAGTACCCGATCATGCCACCAAATATAACCAGCACATAGTCCACTCCTAGGTTCCTCATTATCTCATACGCCTTCTCTTCAGTACTGCTCATCGCTTTACCTATTAATGATGCAATGATGTAATATGATGTCACTAAATGAGCCACACCCACAAATAAAAAATGAGACCATAATTAATGGGAGTATTCTTTTCAAGCTGAAAACTTTCACAAATAATTCAGTCAAAAATAAGGTGTGAATGTCAAAGTAAATTACATGCGAAATTCATGAAATTTCCACTATACAGTACTTATACAATCTATACAATCCTTACCGACTAGAGCAATATGTGAGTTATTCCAGGTATTATTATCAACTAGTGTTGTCCGGTTGGCCATTCCTGCTATCTGGTACCCATAGTCCCACCATGACATCACTGTGGCATCATCAGGAGTGTTCTGACGC